TACATACATACATACATACATACATACATACATACATACAAGTGAAACTAATATAAGCGTGTTAATAAAGTTTGTCGTCATTCAAATTCCTCTTATGGAACACCTGCATTAGTTATGGAACAATCATTCCATATATCAACGCCTAAGCGTGTTGTTATTAATTATTCTTGTACCATTAACCGAGTAACTATAAAAGATCCATTTCCTATAGATCAAATGGACAAAATGTCCAAATCAAATGACGAAAAGAAAATAGCTGGTAAAAAATATAAAACTGTTGTTGATATTAAACAAGCTTTTAATCACATTAAAATAAAAGAAGAAGATGTATTTAAAACAGCAGCAGTGACACCAGATCATCATATCGAATTTATTCGTGTAATATTTGGTCTTTCCAATGCACCTGCTATACTTGCTCGAGCAATATCGGAAGCTTATGGTCATTTACAGAAGATTGGGTTGGTAAAATATTATGACGACATTGGTGGTGGACATGATTTATTCGACGAACATTTGGTTTTCATTCGTAAACTTTTTAAAGCAACCCGGAAGCATAAGCTCAAATTCACAAGGCAAAAATGTAATTTTGCAGTTCAAAAAATCAAACTATTTGGCAGAATTCTAGACGAAGACGGTGATCATCCAGATACCAATAGAGTATTAGCAGTACAAAGATATGAAACACTTGACACTATTCATGAAGTAAGAAGTTTTCTCGGGCTTGCTAATACTTAACGTCGCTACATTAAGGATTTTGCTCTAATTTCGAAACCTCTTACTAATATTTTAAAAAAGAATAAAACTGATACAAATAATTCCAAAATGAGACCTATTACATTAAATGATAATCAACAACAAGCATTTATAAAATTGAAAATTGCGCTAACATCAGCACCATTATTAGTATATTTCAAACAAGATGCACCCACTACGGTTGAAACAGACGCTAGTTATGAAGGGCTAGGATCATGTCTTTCTCAAAAATACAGTTGGTAAAGTATGTTATAGAATTAAGAAAACCGATCATTCGAAGAAGAAAAAAGATACAAGAATAGTGCATGTACAATCAATCAAACCATTCATTGAAAGACCTAATTTTGATGATCCAGGGAATATAGAATTCTATGACACAACAAATATAAATCCAGAGATTAAAGAATCAATTGTTGAAACAAATATAAATCCAGAGACTGAAGAAACAATCAGAGACAATCTTCCTAACATTTCTAGTCGTGGTCGCACAATCATAAAACCTAATTGGCTTAATCAATTTGTAACAGTAAATTGTTCCTATTTGTAATAACACCTTAATATGTAATTTTTTTTCTACTTATTATAAATAGAACATATAATTTATATATACTTTTCTAGGGCCGAATATTATTAAAAAAATTTTAAAATTAAAAAAAAAAAAAAAATGTATATATAATAAATTATGTGAAGAAATGTATAGCTTGTTTAATTGTAATACTATTTGACACGACTTACGTCGCAAAAATGTGGTCGACACTGGTTTTGAGGGTAAAGACCCGTGGACTGTTTATTAATGAGCAACAACAGGTTATTTTAACAAAAAAATAAAACAAACCGAAAAGATGAACACAATAATAATAGTTTTCGCATAATATCGCAGCACTTACGCTGGCGTCGACGACGCGATGTCCGGCGTGATCCTTGGGCGACAAAAAGTTAGCAGCGTTGTAAACGACGGTGCGCGTGTGCGGATCGGTTGGTCGATATTGTCGCTTTCACAACGAGAAGAAGACTCCCATATCATTTGCGGCAGGTCGTCGTCGGCCGTGCAGCATTTGCTGAACTTTGCACCGTAGCGTATGACACGCGGTGTTGGTCAGTCAAATACTTATAGTAGGGCGACGGCTGATAAAGGTTGCACGAGTCTTGGGGCATCTTGTAAAAAATACCCCCCCCAAGCCACAGGTCTACTTAATGACGGTCGGGAAGGTAACCGCGTATCGCAGTGAAGGCCGCAAAACTCGCGTTGTTTATTGGGCGATCTAAGGGGTGAGTGCGTGTATTCCAATTCCATGGATTTCTCCGCTGGTCGCTGTTTCACCGCTGCTGATTTGGATGTTGTTGCCGCTACTTTGTTGTTAAAAACGATGTCTCCTCCATGTTTGATGCTAAGGGTGGTGGTGTCAGGCTCTGTTCTCCGGCTGGCACTAGTAAAGTGAGTGATGTGTGTTCAATGAGCGTTGTGCGTCCCACCATGTCATTAAAGCCGTAGCGCAGTTTTTCACTATCTGTGATGATAGTTCGCGCGTGTGTGGGTCGCCTGCTATATCTAGTGTTGATAGATCTACATCGGGTAGCGTATGTTGAATACTCGCTTTCCAACAAGCTGTAGTGCGTCGAGTCGCGCCCAAGTGAATTGTACCTGCAGCGTAGTCCCCAGGAGACTTCCTGTTCTACTGGAAAGTCGTGTCCCAGGAGTATGTCACAGTACAGATTCTCTAATATAACAGCCGTGAACTTTACTTGTAGATCCGCAATTTTTGTTATAAAGGTAGCTATGCCGACCGTGTCTGTAGTGTGACCGTCAGTTAACCTAACTGGGGGGTGTTTGTCCGTCGTGCACAATTCCAAATTTGTGAGCTGTTGCTCGAGTGGTATACGATTTTTGCGCTTGAGAGTCAAATAAGGCAGTCACAAAGCCGTTGTCAAATTTCAGCTCCACAGCGGGAGTAGTAATTTTACGCGGACGTGTTTGTGCGGCAGTACTCAAGTGGTTAGCGGTTCGAACAGGGGGCGTTGAAACGGTTTGTTCGCAGTATTAATTGCCATAAGCGGGTAGGCCGTTCCTGCCGTATTCACCTCCCCCACGATGACCAACATATCGTTGGCCCGACTTGCGCTATAGTCGTTACCTATTGGCTCTATGATCGTGTGACAAGTATTTTTAATAATCTTATTGTCCTCATTGTGGATGAGAGGTGTGGTGGTGGTGAGTTGTGGAGCTACAGCGTGATCACTATGATGACAGTAGGGCTGTAGGGGTGATTAAGAATTTGGTGTGAAAGTTCTGTGGTTGGGTTTATTTCACACTTTTATTACTAATTATTTCACACCTTTATTACTAATTATTTCACACCTTAACTCTAATTGTTACAAATTATTTCACACCTCTAACTCTAATTGTTACAAATTTTTTCACACCTTTATTACTAATTACTACTAATTATTTCACACCTTTACTACTAATTGCAACTAATTATTTCACACCTTTATTACTAATTACTACTAATTTTTTCACACCTTGATTACTAATTACTACTAATAATTTCACAACTTTATGACTAATTACTACTTATTGCTTCTAATAATTCCACACCTATATTATTAATGGCTGCTAATTAATATCATACCTTTATTACACTCTTTTTCTTGAAGTAATTCACACAAGAAAAATTCATTATATAACAAGAATAATATTAATATAAGTAATTAAATGTCTGAATACCTAACTTTTATACTAAAATATATTTAATACATGTATTACCTATGTGATTAACTATTGATTATGCTGCTTTGTATGTACCTAGTAAAAGCGCCGTTTAAAAAATGTTTTACCTTAATACTATTAATAAATAGTATTTTAATATCATTCATTTTTTTATATAGTCGTATTCCCTTGTTTATATATTTTTATTTTGAAATATTACTTCAAATAAATGACTTCAATAATGAAGCATAAATAAACTTATATATATATATATATTTAATTTCCTGGATATGCACTTACCCGACTTTTTTTAACATTAAAAAGATTAATTTAAATTTAGATTATCTATATGTTTAAATTTTTTTTTTTTAATTATTATAACAAGCACCTAATTTAAAATAATGTTTTGGTTTGTATAGGAAAATACAGAAAATGAATCTGATTTTTTGCACGGGAAACGAATTCACTGTTGGGTAATGATATTACCCTTAGAATATCAAGAAAATATAAGCACAGGCATATATTTTATTGAGCCAAGTACAGGTAAACAGTGTGAAATTTCTGATCAAAATTATTATAAAATTGAAGCAATATGGAATCATAAAAATTATTGGGTTAATTTACAATTACCAGACAAAAATTGTATGGTAAGGTAATTTTTTTAATGATGGTTTATAAAAAATTTCTTTGTCTTTTTAAGAAATTTAACAATTAATTAAATATATACAAATTTATGTCTTAGAGACTATATATATTTTTGTAAAAATAAGTTGAAGTGAAGGCAGAATTAAAGACGCTAGTCTATAACTACTAATTATGAATCAAAATTTTGATATTTATAGCATTACAAATACGCTTTTGCTAATTCAAAATATTGGGAGCATTTATTAATAGATGAACTGAACCATCTGCACTATATTTTAAGACCAGTTGATTCAAATGCCTTGTACAAGTATTTACGAATGCCTACATCTTGGGTCAATATGTTGGTGATATCAAAACATAGTAAGTATACAGAGTGTTCCAAACCCGATAAAACGCTCATTTTTTCCGTAAATTAAGAATTTTAAATTTTTGTAAAAAGATAAAATATTAAATTTAATTAACTACATAATAATACAATATGAATCAAAACCTATCATTTGGTATATATATATATATTTTTAAATCTGATCCTTTACCAGGGCATGTGAGGGGTTTCAAAATGGCAACTTTTCCATAAATAATAACTTTTGAAAATGTTTCGGAAATATTGACACTTATAAATATATATATATATAAATATTAAATTAAAAAA